GTATTGGTTGCCCCTTGTAGGTAACTTTTCGTTTTTCCTGTGCTGCTTTCAGGATTTTTTCTTTGTCTTTGGTTTTGGTAAATTTGATAATGATATGTCTTGGTGATTTTCTTTTGGGGTCTATTCTGTTTGGAGTTTGTTGGACTTCTTAAATGGATATGTTCTCATCTTTCATCATACCAAGGAAATTCTCTTCCAACAAATCTTGGACAATTTTCTCTGTGGCTCTGTTTGTCTCTTCTTGTTCTGGAATTGTGATTACTTATAGGTTATTCCTTTTGATAATATCCCACATGAACCTTAGGCTTTCTTCATTTTGTTTTGATCTTTTTTCTGCTTGATCCCTTTCCAAAGAAGTATTGAGGTATTTGTCTTCAATCTCACTAATTCTTTCATTGATTCAATTCTAGTCCTTTGCCCGTTCAATGTGTTTCTATTTCTGAAAATTTAATATTAATCTTCTGGATTTCTATCTGTAGATTTTGTATCATTTCTAATTTTTCATTTTTTTTGTGTGTGTGTTGTCTTCTGAAATTGTTTTAGGGTTTTCTCTGTGTTTTCCTTGATCTGTCTCTTAATCCATTGAAGGTACCTAAATATAATTCTTTTGAATTCCTTATCAGGAAATTCCAATGCTTCTTTTTCCCCAGGGGTGTGTTCTGGATCTGTATCCTGGTCCCTTATTTCTCTTGCTTTATCTTGCTTCTTTGTGTGGACTGTGATGCTGTGTTGTCTCTGAGACATTGTGATGTTTTTGTGTTTATATTTAATTGGCGATTGTATGTTGGAGTGACTTCCCCATGATTTTTGTTTTCTTTGGATGTTATCTACATAAGCAGGGTACTGTGCTCCTCTTTTCACTAGTTGGCAGCATTTATACACTCATCACCTGTCTCCTTTCCTGTTGTCAGCCACCTGTATGTCCCTGCTGGCCTTGGCAAATGGGGCCTAATCTTAGGTCCCTGGGATTCAAATGAGAATGCTGTCACTTTAAATATCTAAAATGTCCACCACTTGTAAACAGTCAAAATGGCTGTGCCCCTGGTCACTTTAAATATCCCAAATGGCTGCTGCCTATAAACAGTCAAAATGGCTGTGCCTCTGGATGGCCAAAAGTCCACAGCTCAGGCTGTCTCTCTCCTTGCTGTTTCCCCTTCTAGTCATAGGCTACCAGCGCAGTTGTCCCTGCAGCGCTTGGTGATTGGGGCCGATCTTTAGGTCAATTCTCAGGTTCCAACTACTTGGAAATAATTCAGGCTGTTGGTGCCATCAGAGTAGCTGACAGTCCACAGCTCTGTCCATCTCCATTCTCACTGTCTTCATCCAGGTTTTTCCACTGGTTGGTGCCTAATCCACTTCTGTATACTTCCTTTCAAAGCTCAGGGCTCCAGGATTATCTTCTCTATCTCTGCCAATTGGTTTCTCTTTTCTTTGTTGAAGAAGGTCTGTGTAGCTTGTCTGCCTATTCCACCATCTTACCAGAAGTCCTGAGGTCATGTTTTGTGTAGACTATTAGTCCTATAAACTACTTTCTTCTTTAGGTCTATGAGGTCCTTCTTTCTCTTTTGCTTTGGATGAGTAGAGACCAATAATTTTATCTTAGGTGATTGTCTATAAGCTTTTAAGATCCTAGACTCACCAAACTACAACATAGAACATAACTTTATGAACTATGTTATGACAGTTGACTGAGATGTCCCACGAGCCTATGGTCCTAATCCTTCAAACCCAGAAATCCAGTCTGGTGAGGTATTTTGTTATGTCTAAGTAGTATCCATAACTGCCGTCTATGTGCTTTATTATATATCTAAATATGTGCGGATATAGTCACATAAATGCATATGCATATACATATGCATGCACCTCTGTATATACACATATATACCTCCTTACATACATACATACCTCTTATACATTTTTTGGTTGTTTTTGCTGTTGTTCAGGCAGTATAATCTTGATTCTATAATCAAAAAGGATAGTACAAGAGAGGAAAATTAAAGGCCAATCTCCATTATGAACACAGGTTCAAAAATCCTACAAAAAAAAAAAAAAAAAATTGCAAGCCAGCAATGTATAAAAAGGAAAATACACTTTGACCAAGGAGTCATATCAAGAATCTATTAGAAAATTTAAAATGTCTACTTACTGCCCACCAGCCATTCCTCAGAATGAAGGTTGGGCAATCTACTTCTGTAGTGATACTGCCTTGGAAACCCAAGGAGATGTTGCTATGAGTCGAGTCCGACTTGACAGCACATAACAAAAACAACAATTTACTGCATAAAGTAGAAAAACAATTTGATCATCTCACTAGAGGTAGAAATAAATTTGATATAATTCCATATCTATTCATGTTAGGCACTCTTTGAAAAGTAGAAACAGAAGAAAATATTCTTAACTTGATAGAAAATATTTAAGAAAAATTTATATGAAACATCATTTTAAATGGTGAAATATTAGAAGCTTGTCCTTTAAAATCTCTTCTGTTTATGGTTGTACTAGAAGTCCTAACTATCATAGGAAGAAAAGAAATAGAAATAAAAAAGCTAAAGATAAGAAAGAAAGCAATTAGTTATATTAATTTACAGATGATATGGTTATCAACTATCCAAATATTTTGGCAGGTTATTAAAAATAATATGAGCTATTAGCAAGATGACTGGATGAAGACCAATAAACAAGAGTTAGTTGACTTTTTATATCCCACAACAAACAAAAATATAATTTAAAATTATCTTTTTGTTAAAGTAGACCCAAATATATGGAAAGATACACCAGTTCATGGATACTCAGATTTAGTATCATACAGTTGTCAAGTTTTACCAAAAGTGTTCTGTAGATTCATGGAATGCCAATTAAAATCCCATTAGAATATTTTGAGGACCTGGACAGATTGATTGTAAAATTTATGTGAGTGATCAAAGGCCCAAGAATAGCTCAGACATTCCTAAAAGAAGGAAAACGACAAGAAGGACTTGACTTACCAGGTATTAAGACTTATGAACAGTCTGTAGTAATTAAGAGAGCATTGTACTTGTGCAAGAACAGAAAAATATGAATTAAAATAGAAACTTACCAGAAAAGACGTTTGCACATGATAATTTTACTGAGGTAGTATTGCAAAATCATCAAAGAAAGGAGATCAAATTCAGGTAATGATGTGGAATAATTAATTATCCAATGGAGAAAAAGAGTGAAATTAATCTCTAACTCATATCATATACAAAGATGAATTGCTAGTGGATTCAATACCTAAATAAGAAAGGCAGAATGTAAAAACTTTTTAATAAAACTTAAGGGAATATGTCTAGATAATCTGTGTGGAGAAACTTTTTAACAAAACATTTTAAAATGCTAATTATTCAAAAAGATTGATAAATTTGACTTTGATAAAATGAAAACATCTTCATTATTAAAGGATACCATTAAAAATGAAAAGAAAAGCAATTAACTTGGAGAAAATACTATTAACATATATAGCTAACAAAAATATAGTACCTAATATGTATAAAGAACTTCTCTGACCCATTAAGAAAAAGATAAAGGACCCAATAGAAAAATTGAAAAAAGCCATTTCACAGAGGATGGAAAATATGAATGGAACATAAACATATGAAAAGATGTTCAGCCTTATAAGTAGTCAGGGAAATATACAGGTCATGATCTGTGAGATACCATTTTACATTTACTGTTGTTGTTGTTGTTTGCCATCGAGTTGGACCCGACTCACAGCAACCCGTCCTTGGGTTTCCGAGGCAGTATCAAACCCACCAGCCACTCCTCGGAAGGAAGGTTGGGCAGTCCTACTTCCGTAGTGATACTGCCTCGGAAACCCAAGGAGGGGTCGCTATGAGTCGGGGCCGACTCGACGGCACACAACAACAAATCACTACGGAAGTAGATTGCCCCATCTTCCTTCCGAGGAGTGGCTGGTGGGTTTGAACCACTAGCCTATTCAGAAGTCTGATAATACCAAGTGTTGGCTGGTTTTGTTAAATGTAGGAATTTAAGTTCAGTGGGAGTGAGGAAAGAAATAGAAATACCGGAGGAACCATCATTTGTGTTAATCAGTATTCCATTTTAGGATTACTTGAAAATACTCCCAAAGAGAACCTGGAACCAGGAAGAAGTTGGTGTCACTTTAGTTTTGAAACAAAAATGTTGTTGTTTATGTGTATGGTAAGAAATATGCTTATCTCTTACTTATATCTGCCTGTACCTAGTCTAAGGTTGTTTTATAGTCAGATTTTCTTTTTTCTTTTCCTGGAATTAACTATTTTCTTGATGGAATGTTATTTAGCTTTATGCTTTCTTATGCCTTTTTCACATTTAAGGCCCAAAGTTTTGCCTCACATGTTCTATATTTACAGAAGTCAGACATGTATAGTGTACATTTTGGAAAGCTCTTGATATATTTCTTTATATATATTTCCTTCTTTCTGAATAAAATAAATTTACATAGGAAATGCCTTGTGGCCCAAAACTAAGAAAAAGTCTACCTTTTATTTATTGACGTTTTTAGCTGGAGAAAGTTAAACAGAGGGAATATCTTTGTTCTAATTATTACTATCCCATTTATACAATAGGATGAAATGAATTTGCATTATATATACTCTAATGTTCTTCTTCTTCTTATTATTATTATATATTTTTTTATTTTTGTGGAAGCCCTGGTGGCATAGTGCCTAAGGCATTTGACTGCTAGCTAGAAGGCTGGCGGTTCAAACCCATCAGCCACTCCTCGGAAGGAAGGTTGGGCAATCTACTTCCATAGAGATACCGCCTCAGAAACCCAAGGAGGGATCGTTGTGAGTTGGATTCCACTCGACAGCAGTGAGTTTGGTTTTTGGATTTTTTTATTTTTGCAGTGTTTCCTCCCCTCCCCTCCCATCCCTGGTAACCAATAGAGTTTTCTTCCATATATAAACCTTACCTTAACTTTTTACAATATGCATTATATATACTATAATGTTTTGTATGTGAATTACTTTTTTTAATAGACAGTGGATTCAAGCCAGTTATAGTATCAGCGCCAGGAAGTGCAAAGGTGGTAGATGGAGATGTTGTTACTTTGTCCTGCAATGCCTCTGGACTGCCAGTTCCAGTCATTCGTTGGTATGACAGCCGTGGATTGATAACCACCCATCCATCTCAGATCCTTAGATCTAAATCCCAGAAATCACACTCAATGAGACCTGAGCCCATTAACCTGGAACCTGTTTACTTTGTCATGTCCCGAGCTGGCTTAAGCTCTCTCTATATTCAGGCTGTTACTCAGGAACATGCTGGAAAATATATCTGTGAAGCTACAAATGAACATGGCACAGTGCAATCAGAAGTATTCCTTACAGTTGGTGAGTTGCTGTTAGTGTTTTTTCTCAGTTGAGTAATAACCTTTTATTGAAGGGGATAAAAGGTTTTGAAATATGTTTTAATGAATCCAACATTCTCTTAATAACAATTTCCCCCCCAGACAACAATGAAATGTAAAGCTGTACTTTTTGGTACGTGAATCAGATAAACTTTGGCCTTCAGTCTTGATGTGTTTGTTAAACTTGTAGTTGTCATATAGAAGCCTTTCATTTGTGAACAAGCTTAAGATATGACCTCTTTTTGTGATTAGTGCTTTTAGTTTAGTTTTTTTTTTTTTTTGAATGTTCTATCGTGGTATGGCTGAAAGTTTACAGAACATGTTAGTTTTCTATTCAACACCCAAAATGGCCACCACTTGTAAACATTCAAAATGGCTGTGCCCTTGGTCACATTAAATATCCAAAATGGCCATTTCTTGTAAACATTCAAAATGGCTGCACCCTTGGTCACATTAAATATCCAAAATGGCCATTTCTTATAAACATTCAAAATGGCTGCGCCCCTGGTCACTTTAAATATCCAAAATGGCCACTGCTTGTAAACATTCAAAATGGCTGTGCCTCGGTCACTTTAAGTATCCAAAATGGCTGTGCCCTCTGAACAGTGAAAGTCCACTGCTCAGGTAGTCTCCCTCCTTGCTGTTTCCCTTCCTAGTCATTGGCCACCAGTGCAGTCATCCCTGCAGCCCTCGGTGACCAGGGATGATCTTTAGGTCAATTCTCAGGTCCCAACGCCACTTGGAACTATTCAGGCTGTTATTCCTGTCAGAGTAGCCGACAGTCCGTAGCTCTGACCATCTCTGTTTTTGTTCAGGTTTTTCCACTAGTTGGTGCCTAATCCACTTCTGCACAGTTCCTTTCAAAGCTCAGGGCTCCAGAATTACCTTCTGTATCTCTGTCAATTGGTTTTTCTTTTCTTTGTTGAAGAGGGTCTGTGTTGCTTGTCTGCCTATTCCTCCATCTTACAGGAAGTCTCATGCCCTTGGTTTCTGACTACCTTGGTCATGTTATGCTGACATCCCCCTTCTGTATATTGCCTTTCCCTTACCCTAGTTAATACTTGTCTATTCTCTATCTAGTTAGTGATTTTTCCCTCCCTTTCATTCTTATCCCTGGTAACCATCAAAGAATGTTTTTTAATGTGTGCAAACCTTTTCTTGACTTTTTATAGTAGTCATCTCACACAGTATTTGTCCTTTTGTGATTGACTTATTTCACTCAGCATAGTGCCCTCCAAGATGTTAAGAGATGTTTTACAGATTCATCATTACTCTTTAATGTTGTGTAGTATTCCATTGTGAGTATGCATCATACTTTTTTTTATCCATTTATCTGTTCATGGGCACCAGCTTATTTCCATAATTTTGCTGTTGGGACTAGTGTGGCGATGAATATGGGTGTGCATATGTTTATTCATGTCATGGCTCTTATTTCTGTAAGATATATATGGTGGTTAGGTTTCTGTGTCAACTTGGCTGGGCCTGGTTGAGTGGTTGAGTTATTCCCCATGATGAGAGTGGCAATCAACTCCATAGTGGGATCTACCACAAGCACCTGAGTAGCTGCTTTAGGGATGCGTACTGCTTCCCATATATAAGCAGTAGCTTTGGGAATGGTCTCTAGCTTATGGCACACTTGAACCCTACATGTAGCTGTGTCATTGTTCAGCAGTCTGCCATGTTCTGCCAACCTTGGGACTCTCAGTGAACTTAAATTAATGGCCTTCCATGTGGTTTGGTAACATTGGGACTGTGCCATTTTATTTGTTGACTTTGGGCTTGTTAGCCTCAGCAGCCAATAGCTGCCTAAGTGAAGAGATGCCTCTAGCTTCAGTAGGCTGGGAGCAAGAAGCAGATCTGAAGCCCAAGGTCAAGGGGCTTTCACCCAGCCCCTAGAGCTTGGAACTTTGAACTCGGACTTAAAGCATCCAAATTGTAAGAATACACTCTTGTTTGTTAAGGCTATCCCATATGTGGTATATTCTCATCAGATTAGCACTAGGTAACCAAAACACCCAGTAATGGGATTGTTGGAGTATATGGTATCTCTATTTCTAAGTTCTTAAGTAAAGTACTATACAGTTTTCCAAAGTAATTGTACCATTTTACAATCCCACCAGCAGTTTATGAGAGATGGTCTCCACACCTTTGCCAGCATTTGTTGTCTTCTGATCATCACTATTATTGCCAGGGTGAGATGATATCTTGTTGTTTTGATTGGCATCTCTCTAATGGCTAATGATTGTGAGCATTTCTTCATATACTTTTTTGTCCACCTGAATGTCTTTGCTGAAGTGTCTCTTCGTGTCCTTTGCACATTTTTTAATTGGATGGTTTGTCTTTTTATTGTTGAGATGTTGAAGTTTTCTATAAATTTTGGAGATTAGTCCCTTCTCAAATATGTCATTACCAAACATTTTTTCCCAATCTGTGGGTTTTTTATTTTTTTTTTTTTTGTTACTCTTTTGGAGAAGTCTTTTGATGAGCATGATGTTTAATATTTAGGAAGTCCTGTTTATCTAGTTCATCTTCTATGTGTGCATTTTTAGTTATGTTTGGTATTCTATTTATGCCATATATTAGAGCTCCTAGAGTTGCTCCTATTTTTTCTTCCATGATCTTTATAGTTTTATATTTAGGTCTTTGATCCACTTTGAGTTAATTTTTGTGTATGGTATAGGTATTGGTCCTATTTCATTTTTCTGCAGAGAGCCATCTAGTTTTGCCAGTACCATTTGTTAAAGAGACTATCTCTTCCCCATTTAAACTTTAGCCCTTTGTTAAGGATCAGCTGTTCATAGGTGGATGGATTTGTGTCTGGGTTCTCAATTCTGTTCCTTTGGTCTAGGTGTCTGTTGTCGTACCAGTGCCAGACTGTTTTTCTTGTAGTATGAGGCCTCCTACTTTGTTCTTCTTTTTCACTACTACTTTACTTATCCGAGGCTACTTTACTTTGCATATGAAATTGGTGATTAATTTTTCTATTTTGTTAAAGAATGCTATTGGAATTTGAATTGGGATTACATTATATCTATCATCGATTTAGATAGTATTGACATTTTCACAGTGTTAAGTCTTCCTATTTATGAGCATGGTTTGTTTTTCCATTTATATAGGTCTCTTTTGGTTTCTTACAGTAGTGTTTTATAGTTTTCTTTGTACAGTTTTTTATATCCCTGGTTAGATTTATTCCTAAGTATTTGATATTTCCGGGAACTATTGTAGTTGGTATTGTTTTCCTGATTTCAAAGTTCTTTTTGTTGATGTAGAGAAATCTAACTTTTTTTTTCAGTGTTGATTTTGTCCTGCTACTTTGCTGAATCCTTGTATTAGGTCTAGTAGCTTTCTTCTGGAATCTGGAATTTTCTATGCATAATATCATATCGTCTTTGAATAGGGATAGTTTTACTTCTTCCTTACCAATTTGAATGCTCTTTATTTGCTTTTCTTGCCTTATTACTCTAGCTAAGAGTTCCAATACAGTGTTGAATAAGAGTGGTGATCTGGTTCCCATTCTCAAAGAGAATGCCTTCAGTCTGTCTCTTTTGAGAAAAATGTTGGTTGTTGGTTTTGTATAAATGCTATTTATTATGTTGAGGAAATTCCCTTCTAGTCCTATTTTGCTGAGAGTTTTTTTTATCAGGAAAGGGTGTTGGATTTTATCAAATGCCTTTTCTGCATCAATTGAGATGATCACATGATTCTTTTATTTATGTGGTGGATTATATTGATTGATTTTCTAATGTTGAACCATCCTTGAATACCTGGTATGAATCCCACTGGGTCATTATGTATTTTTGTTTTGTTTTACATGCTATTGTCATCTATTGGCTAGAATTTTGTTGAGAATTTTTATGTCTTTATTCATGAGAGATATTGGTTAATTACCTCTTCAGTTTCTTCTTTTGCTATAGGTCTGTTCAGTTTTTCTACCTCAGTTTGTATTAGTTTAGGTAGGTATTGTGTTTTTAGGAATTCAATATGATTCTGTGTCCAAAGAACTACCTTTAATATGTCTTTTTCTTTTTTCTTTTTATTGTGATTTGGCTGAAAGTTTACAGAGCAAATTGATTTTCCATACAGCTACCTTTAATATTTTTTATAAGGTTGGTCTGGTTTTTACAAATTTCATTAATTTTTGTTTATCTGGAAATATCCTAATGTTGCCATTGTATCTGAGAGACAGCTTTGCTGGACATGTCTTGGTTGGCAATTTTTTTCTTTCAAAGTTTTATATGTTATCCCATTGCCTTCTTGCCTGCCTGGTTTTTATTGAGTAATCAGAACTTAGTCTTAATGGAGTAGTGCCTTTAGTTTTCTAAGCTACTGAAAATGTCATTGTAGACATTTTAGGTGAACCATTGAGAAGGACAGTCTTCAAAGTTTAAGGGGTTTGTTTTAATTGAAATTGTAGTTGTACTAATATCAAACAATACCTGTATGTATCTCCTGCCCCCCATCTTCTTTTTTCTAATAGGATGCATAATATTAATTCTTTATATTTTACTGCTTTTTGTTCATAGTGACTTTAAATCTTTATATACTTTCTGATGAAATGGTATATATAGAATATAT